GAGGGGCGTTCAAAAAGTCCTCACCAAAGCCCTTACCTGACATCCGTCAGCACCTCCAGCATAGCAATCTCCGTTAAACCTGGTCTCGGAGTAGTTGCCGCAGCATACGGCGCGAGCTCGTCGAGCACCGGTCCCAGCTTTTCGGGTGTACACCATCTTGGCCGGGAGCAACTCTATCGTCTTTCCTTCCTTGGCTGCACGGGCCCTCAGGGCCTCCTTGAAGAAGTCTTCCACCTGTCATAATAACACTCATCGAGAACTGACGGAGGACAGGTCTCTCATCACCGGGCCACAAACGGCCAACCAGTCACCCAGCTCGATCGGCGAGGCATTCGATGCAAGCTCCGCCAACTCGGCCTTGCTATTGCCGACACCTTCATTCCACGGCAGTGGCATTGGGGCCTGGCCACCATCATGACGCCAGCGGCCATACTGCATGTCGTCCGGCGGCTCCGGACTATGAGGCATGCCAACATGAACTTGATGACAAACACCGTCACGAACATATTCTTTACCTACCCCAGGTGCACGATCCCGACCACCGCCCTGAAGCTCTTGACCAAGAGGCCCAAAACCATCAGCCGACGAAGTGGGCGGCACCGATTGCGAACAGGCCGACCTCGACCACCCCACCTCCTTCATTTGGCCAAGCGACGATTTGAGCTCAGCCAGCTCGCGCTCCAAACGATCGGCGCGATCATCCCTCACTCCACACGGCCGCGGCATGAAGACCTGCCCTTCTCGCATGCTGAGGGGAACCCATCGCGAATCGCCGCGCCGCTGGGACTCCAGCATCTCATAGCCCTGCAGCATACTAATGTTTGCCGAGTGGCTTGAAGGAAACGGTGGAAGCGGTACATCAGGAGGAGGTCCATGGGTTCCATTGGGGGTGAACTTCGCTCCGTGTTGTAGCCGTCGTACTGGGTACGTCCCCTGGAGTACGGGGTGGTGGATCTTTGGGAGGTTCACGAGGAAGATCCCCTTGTACATGACCTTGTACATGCGACCCATGAAGCTCATGAAGACGACCATCCAAACCAGAAGGGCCACCAACCGGAACATGGGAACGCGGACCAGGTGCCAAATTGGAGCTACCACCACCACCATCAACTTCTCCCCCCCACACCATCGACAGTTTCCCACGAAGATGGCGTGGACATAGGTTCCAAGGAGGTCTTGGCTGGTGGATTCCTTAGTCGCTCCAGCTCCTCCAGAAGTTGAGCATTCTGCTCTTGCAAAAAGATCACCATTTCGGATTCCAGTGCTCTTTGCAGCCCATCACTGTCTTCCCTAGACCGTGGTGGTCGGACCGCATGCGGTTGGAGGCTGAGCTGCGGCATCGGCGCCCAGAGGATCTGCCGCTGCCACCTGACGGTGACTTGGAGTGGGAGTTCAACACTGAACCGGTGCAGGACAAGAGCGCCGGGAATGTGACCTTGGGAAAGGGGCGCGGTGAAGTGCCTCCTGGTGGTTCAGCTGGCAATGGTTCGTTTGCCACACCCCCAAGCAATCGAAGCAGTGTTGAAGGCCGTGGAGGTCACCCCAAGGGCAAGAAATCCGAAGGGGCCATGCCTACAAGTGGTTCAAAGTCTGGTCGGGGTTCGACTGAGACGATGGGTCCAGTGCCGCCGAAGCATAGGCCGCCACGGGTTGGCAACCATGGCTCCTCGAGGAGGAACCGAGTGCGCGCGTGACATGGCGCAACGGGTAGCCTCAAGTTGGGCTCATAACCCTCGAAAGGCACACAGAGGCACCTTTTCAACTGCTCGAACAAGAAATGCCTGTAGGTTTAGGCTGGACATGGTGATCACACCACTCTTCACAGAACAGTAAATCTTCCTCAATTACTGTAGCCTTTGGAGTACAATCTTCTTCATAAGAGGAAGATGGTTTACCATTTGTAATTCCCGGAGTTGGTTTTCAAGCCAAAGCACACACAGACCTGACTATGGATTCTTGAGATGCACCAATTTGGGTTGCACAGCATGGACTATCGGGCAGGTTAACCATGCATCATGGTTTAATGAAGTTTAGTGGGTGGCATTGTTCTACCTTTCAATCTACCCAGGCCTGTAGCGATGCCAAGGTGGCCACGATCGCGAAGCCAGCACAGTGGGCGACCAGGCCACCCCAGCACTTCCTGAGAGTGGTGCAGCACACGCACGTGAAAGAGGATTACATCTTGTGCAGTCTGCTGCTACTGGGGTGGAGACACCAGGCACGCCCAAGGCACATGGCCGTCTCCCTCTGCTCCCAAAGCTCCTCCAATTCCTGGCGCTCCTCCTCGCTGCTGGCGTCCTTGCACGCGAGGGCCATCCAACTATATAACTATCCGATCCAAAACCCCACTCAAATCCCCCCCTGCCAGCACCCAGCTGCACGAAATTCGCCCGGACGGTTCGCCTTCGGACGTTCCGCCTCTCCTTGGGCTCCTTGGCCTCCTCGCCGAAGGCGCCGCTCAGGGCGGCGGTCACCAGCTGCGAGGCCAAGAACCACATCACCGCCAAGGCCACGTCCAGCAGGACCTGAAGATGTCGGTGAAGTGAAAAAGGACCCAGTATGGGAGTACCCGTGTTGTCTTAGTCTAAGAATGTCCAATAGGCTTCTTCAACCCCCTGTTGTGTCCGGACTCCAAAAGGTGCCCTTGACGAGGTGTCCGCAGGTTCTTCGGGTGTTGAGTGTGCCTTAGGCCTTCGTGGTGTCCGTGACAGAAGAGGGGGGGCAATCTTGCCCAAAGACCTGTAGCCTGAAGCAAACATGATTTGCCACCTACAACCAGTTCACCTGGTAGGAGGGAATCCTCTAAACTGATTACAATCAGGATTACGGTGTATATATATATGCTATATGTTATATATTATAAGTTATACGTCTAGTTATTGCGGTCAGGAAGTATTGAGCCTCACGGTTGACTTCTCTCCTACTCAAAAAAAGGAGCACCTTTCCTCATGATGCGTGGTATCATTCGGCCAAACTTGGCCGCTGCGCCCCGACAGTGAAAACGGCCAAGGGGCAGGTCCCCAGCCGCCCACTTTGATGCCGCTGAAGAGGAAGCGCTTGGCGCACTGATTCACCACATCGGAGGCCAAGACAGCGATGAAGATGCATGCAGACAAGGTGAGGATGTTCCAGCTGTAGTAGCGGATGTCCAAGTCCTAAGAGGCCATCGCTACTAGTAACAAGAAGCTGCTTTATAGTAGCTCACACGAGTGGAGCCGATCACACCGGTCTCGTCAGGTCCGTGGCACCCGACCCTTCCCGTTCAGAAGCTCCGTGGCTGACAGAGATGTCTCAGTCGTGGTCAAGCTTGGAGTGAGAAGCTTTCAGTTGAACTTGTTGGCACGAGTGAGAAGAATTGAGAAGCCGTTCAGAGTCTGACTTGGTGCTTAATATGATTCCCATATCCATCCGACCGCCAGCAGAAATCGCATGACTTTTCTGCGAGACTCAGAAACAACCAAAGATTCTCTATTGCCAACCTCCGTTCGCCCCTCCTTCCGCCTCCTTCACCCCCGAAGCAAGGCACCGGGTGCTGCACCAGGTAGAACATGGCCATCACAAGGGTCACGCCGCCGATCAGCATGTAGGAGGCGGTCAGCGTCTTCTCGTCGGGCGCATGGTGTCCGTGGCCCTCGTGAGCGCCTCGGGTGAGAAGGGCAGAGCTTTGAGAACGGCTGGGAGAAGCTTGGAAGGTGTGGATGGAGAAGCTTGGATGTGCTGCTCTCATGACATGTCTTGCTCCTAGTGGTAAGGCCAGGAGCTACTAGTAGCGTCCTTGCTACTAGTAGCGATGCCCTTTGTTGGTAGTATATAGCTTCTTGTTGCTAACTCCTTGGATAACTCCTTGTCATGATACATGGGCCAGTTTGTACAGAAGGAGCGGAGCGGAGGACAGAGTCACAGGGGTGTTGAAGTCGGAAAGTTGTGGAATCGGAGCTTTGGGGAGGTCCAATTCCAGCGGATCCGTCGGCAATTGCACGCAAGGGAAGGCCGAAGAGAGAGAAAATGCTCTCACCCACACGCCCATGCCGCCCTTCCATCAAAACACCACGCTTCCGAGCTCAGTTTGGTGCACATCACTAAGTGACAGCGTCCTTCTCCTACTACATCTCCCACCTCTCCCGCATCTCCACCAAAAAAGTGTGCTACAGCCTACAGGGCCTACAGCACTGAAAGACCAACAAACCCAACACCATCCGCCTTCGTGCCCATGTCCATCACCGTGCTCCCCATGTTCGCCATGCTCACCATGGTCTCCATGGTCTCCCTCCGCATGAGCTCCATGATGCTCACTGTGACCGTGCTCCTGGAGAAAAAAACAAATGAGAATCACCCTCTTGCTCATCTTGGGCGGCATGATCTAGGTCTGACACAACTTCTTTATCATCCAAACTGGCGATGAGTATCTGTCCCACATGTCTGCATTGACTAGGCCACTCGACAGGATCGTCCTCGTGTTCCTCTGATTGCCCATGAGCATCGGCGGCATGATCGTCAGCATGTGCCTCACCATGCGCTTCTTCTTCGTGTCCATGAGCCTCCGCGGCCTCTGCATGTTCACTATGCTCTGCATCGGCAGGCGCCTCGGCGGCTTCTTCAGGCGAGTCCTGTGGAGGGTCGATGATGCGTACAATAACACCATCATCTGGATGCTCCACGTTTTGAATGTTGAGCTCCTCCTTCACAGTTCTCACTGTGATGTGTGTCTTCACAGTGCACGTCAGCACAGGCAGACTGAGGAAAATGCTCAGAATCAACCTCGCCATGGGTCAACGATCCTGATGACCCGCTTCGTTGGTATTCCGGTGTTAAGTCTGACCACAAAGCGGCGGTCTGTAAGCCAAAATGTCCACACGAGGCTCACATGCTTTCAGATTTGGACTTAAAGGCCAAACAATGCCTTAGACTCATAGTACACTCTAACTTTCGAAGGTTCCTCAAGTTTACAAGCAAAGAGGTAGAATTTCAACCCTTTGGAGACCTCCATCCAGACTAGTGGCCCACGGCAACGTTGACCAAGGCATCCAAGAACTGCAAAAACCACACCGAGTTGAACCTAAGAACAGCAGTCTCGGTTGCCAAGAAGAGACAGAAGGAAAACTCTCCTCTGAAGACGTACTGTTCAAAACATCATCTCAACATCTTTTCTCATCTATTTCGGAACCTCTATGAAACACCGATTTGGTGGATGTTCAGACGACCGCTGCGGGTGTTTTCACCTGCGCCTCAAGAAGGCGGTCACTCAGCGAGGGTTGACCGAGGTGACGATGCCAAGGGTTCTTCTTTCCCGCGATCCCCACATGTGACATAGGAACTTGCTGACTGAGCTTAGCCTCTGGGTGAAATCCTCTACAAAACAACATACAGTACCTACAGATACCTACGGTACCTACGGTACATAGAGTTCTTCAAGTTGCGCTCAGCCTGACCCAAATGCGACCTGAAGCCTGAGGCTGCGCCGAGAGACTTCAGGCCCGATGGCGATTTGTATTTGAAGATCTGCTCTTGCAACCTCAATTTGTGGGTTCAAGGCTCATGATTCTGAATGCACTCTGACGCAAGGGCGTTGCTCATGGTTCTGGGCCAGGACTCACCCCTGGCTCTCAACTGAAGTGCTGGCTTTCTTTCCTCACTTCTCTTTAGACAAGGGGCCGTCCGTACCAAATGAAGAAAAAGTAGATCCCAGCCTGATATCGACAAGCAATACCGCCATGTAACCGCTTCCCCCATTGGGCGCGTCAGTGTCCAGGTCAAATGCTCGGAAACCTCAATCTTCTCAGTTGGACCATGGTGGAACACTATTGCTTTTGGAAAATTATGATTCCCCCAAAAGCAACCCCTCCATGTGAATCAAGACTTGTTGTGAAGAGCCCATGTCTCAACCGGGCGTCCCCACAGCGCCCTTCAAGAGCTGCCACTGCGATCGGCTCAACACGGACGCCTCGTCACCGTTCTCCGCCTCGGTCGTCGAGCGAGTCGAGCGGTGTGGCCAAAAAGGGAGGTCAACTGAGGTCAATCTGTTTAAGTGCAGAGGTCAATCTTGGGATGTTTGGTTTGAGCACAACTCCACTTCATTTGAACTCAACACAACTAGCAGCCCAGTAGTCTTCCGTTTCTGGCAAGTGGCGGACCCATTCTGGGCGGAGCGTGAGGCCATCCGAGCAGGCCAAATGCTTTAGCTTGCACAAAAGCACCAGTCAGGGTATGTGTGGGCTGGGCAGCGCAGAGTGTGAGGCTTTGGCTCGAAACCCGAGAAAAGCAGCTAGGCGGGCCATGCTCTAGAGGAAGGAACCAAGAAATCCACCACGGAACTTTTGTTGTGCGTGCTTGCCATGATCGTGCAGGCGTTGTTCTAAACCTTGATGCGATAAGGCATACTGCCTTCCAAGTGCCTGACATATCCGAGCTGATTCAATGTCAACGACTATATATATATATATGGTATATGAAGTGCATCTGCAGGACACAAATCACAGTGCCCGCCGAGCATCGCCGAGCACAGCTGATATCCATTCTACGGCACAGCAACCCCCAACATGACCCCTCGAATTGGTGTTGCAAGGTCTTTCGCTGACCTGGGGCTTCTCTACCTGGCCACTAGAGGCTGACTGGTTGGAAGATGATGGAGGTATCCTGTCGCAACTTCGGGTCATGATAGAATGGTCGGAAGAACCAAATCGAGATTTCGCCGGCGATCGAGCGATGTCAGGCTCTCTTTTTCGGCCGACATCACACAGGGTAGGCGCAACCCAAGGCAGATCCCGCGATCGAGCGGAACATCTCATAAATGTTGGTGGCCACCCCGGCAACCCCACCCGACAGGCGTCGCAGCTCGCGATCGGCTAACTCCTCGTTCATCTCACGCAAGGTTTGGAGGTACAAGATGGTGTCTGAGCCGATGTCGAAGACCATGACATGAGAATAAGAACAAATGGAAGCAATGAAGCCACTGACCACGCACCAGTACCAAACGTATGGGACATAGCCTTGGCTGCAGGTAAATACGATAAAGACGCCGGACTGTCCTGTCTATGTTTAAAAAAATGTAACAAAATGTTCACTAAAGGTGAAATGTCGGCCAGTGCAAGGAGCCGAAATGGATGGGATCATTGTACTCTGGGATCTGAGTCACAGCAATCCAGCTGATCATAAAGCCGAACCACCAGGTGAGGCACAGGCAAATGACTTGGAAGACGAAGGTGGTACCATTCCTGGAAAAACAGTTCGTGTATATTGAAGCAGAAAAGAACTCCCACGGATTCGAGTCTAAATTCCTCTCAAAAAAAACAGACCCCCACGCGCAAAGTTAAAAAATAGAAATAAAGGAAAACTGTTTCTTTGTTCGGTTCTTTTGGGGGGAGCTCGTCCTCCACGAACGAGCAGAGAGAACCATGCTAGAATCTTTGGAGTCGTCTCTCTAGCCCCCCACCAACAAAATTGACTAGCTGGGACCCTGGGAGCAAATCTGTAAATAGGAAACCAAAACTCCTACCATACCTAAGGAGATAAGAAAAGAATATGATAGAAACCACGAACCTGGATGCAGGACACTTGCTTATATCTCAGATCCCAGAAAATAATGTGAAGCTCCTTTGGATTGCTTTTGAATGCTTTTGATACATACGACGCGATATCTTGGGGTGGCATTCTTGTAGGACACTCTTGTGTGAGACCTTTCCAGTGGCACTCTTGAGCACGCTTGGGCTTGTAACACATTCTTATTTCGAGCAAACTCTTGCGCAACACTCTTGCAGGACAGACTGGAATGACATTCTTGTAAGACACTCGCGCAGGACACTCTTGCGTGTGTGACTCTCTTAGCCTGCACTCTTGCATGAAGTCAAAGTTGCCAATAATTGCACACACTCCACACACGTTTGGCGTTTGGAATGGTTTCAACACTTTGCAACGTGAACCACACCGTCCAAAGTTGCACTTTTGCCTGAGACTGAGACTTGTTCGGAAAACACAGCTCCAATGCAAACCCACAAACGGGCAAAATGGCAATCCACAATTTTTAGGGCAGGAGCGAAGGGTTGTTGTTTTTGAGGAGTGGTTTGAAGCCTCATGAAAAGCACGGAAAAAAGGGAACGACTTCTCCAAGGCTCAACGAGTTGGCTGTGGTCTGACATGTTTCCATCGTCACGGCTGCTGCCTCCATCGCCTTGCGGAGCGCTGTCCCATGCAGCACCAGGTCTACAAAGGCATTGGCTGAGAACCGGTCAAAAAGCTTGTAGAGGGACACCAGGCAAGGGCAGCAGGACATCCTCAAAACGTTTCGTCCAAACATGAACGTTTCAACTGGTCACTTTCATCCATCAAAATGAAGTCGTTTGACTCTCCAATCGCATTCTTCTCTCTGCATTCGCATTACATAGCTCTTTTTGAATCCCCACAACGAGTTCAGCCAGTGACTGTCGAGACGTGCCAAATCACAGGGGTTTCCAACAGGTGATCGAAGCGCGCGCAGCTCACTCACAGTGGCCCACGTGAGGTGGGCAAGTCCAGCAGTCCGGTCAATCCCCACCCAGTCCAAGAGCTCCAATCCGACTGTTTTCAGGGGGATCATCTCCGACTGCCTGTCCATTGAATTGAGTCAACGAAAATACCACTAGGACCATGGTCCCCTTCCAATCTACCATTCATTTTACCTGGTTCCCGCTGTCCGCTCGTACCTCGAAACCCTCCCAAAAAAACCGCCCGAACCTCGAAAACCCTCTCCAGCCCAAGCTTAGCGTCTCCATCCAGCTGAAGGGATTCTGCGGCATCCGTGTCACCGCCGTCAAGGTGCCCAACACGAAGCGAAAGGGCCGCACCAGGCCGATGCAGACCGCAGCGAAGGCGATGGAGCCACCATGGAAGCGGAGGAGCACCGCCATGCACTGACGAGGTGTGGTGCGGAAGAAAGTGGGATTTAGCGGAAGCGGAGAGGAGACGGGGCAGACGCTTCCGGGTGGAAGAGGGCGAAAAGGAAGTTAGATGGTGAAAGTTTGGATGAAATGTTGGATCCTAAACAAACAAACTCTGCACCAGAGATCCAACTGCATTCTGCTGTTGGGAACAAGCTGCAGGTAATAATACAAAGTTTTCTCAAATTTATGTGTATATATGTATATATATATATATATGTATGTACTGATGTATTCACAACCGCTGACTGAATACTTTATGGGGTCGGGGGATGTTTGTTGGTTGATTTACTGTGATGTTGTTTTCTATTGTTCAGCTAGGTTTTACCTGAAAACCTGCTTCAAAAAACTCTTATTAAGATAAAACTCATCCAAATCATTGCTCCAAACAATCTTTCAAGCGGGTAGCACGCCAAGCCCAGAGGAGCTGCTGCTACTACTACTCCTACTACCCCTACAACCCCTACTACTACTATTATTGTTATTATTGTTATTATT